AAATTTTTTATACTTTCCCAAAAGCAAACCCAGGCAGAGAATATGCAAAAATATCATATTAGGTGTACTTTGAATCTGGACATCAGGAACACTGAAGCCAGTTTCTCCTGCTCTAGAATTTTGGTGTAGTGCACCTCTTCATTTAAAATACGTATGCCATTCATTAATCGTGTATTTCAGAAGACGACTTTCTGTGGTTTCAATAAGAGGGCAAGAGCTCATGGTTATACTTTGCTGAAAAGATTCCTCACATTTTAAAAAAAAAAAAAGCTATTTCCTACCATTTTTCTTATTGATCTAGGACAGTGTTTTCATACTTCTACAGTACATGCAGGAACTGCTTTTATATACATAATGTGCGTTATATTCCAAGCTGAAGAGTTTCTTCATCCTAGAAACTGTAAATTTTTGCAAAATAGTAATCTATACTAGATTTCTTTTGAATGTAATGGGCATTTGTAAAAATGGCCTGTCTGCCACTTAATATCTTTGGGAATTAATGCAATTTGCTGATCTATAAAGAATTACCCTGCTCCCACTCATGAGAATCAGAAAAGTTTTAATTGAACAGTTAAGCTGGAAATCAATTACTTTTACCTCTGAAGTACTGTGTGCTACTCACAGTAAAAAAAAAAAAAGCATGAAACATTCATTCTGCAGCTTGCCCCAAGATTAATTCCAAGGAATTATTTCCTAGGCAGCTTCCATATTACACTGACAATTTCTGTTAATAATTCATACATTACAAGTGAGAAAATGGCTGTAAAACTCTGATATGTAAGGAATAGATACTTTTTTGCTCTCTCTCAAAAAAGATTAACAATATGGATTTCGGCAGAGAACTATTAATTGCTAGTATATTTTGCTTTTCTCTATGCATACTTTCATTGTAACTTCAGGATAAAAAAAATTATCCAGGTTGTAGCCATAAGCAGAGATCCTCTATAACTCCTGAACCAAAACTTAAAAATTTAATTCTGATTTTCATCATGGTTTCAGCCTGAGGTCTGTGTTCATTTCTGTGCACACATTAGCATGACTGTATTTGCACACCAGGTATTATCAGAAGCGCAGCCACTGGGAATGAAATTTGAGCAAAAATCACTCATAGCTTTTCATCATCCTTTAATGTCTCATTTAAAAGAACTACAAATCTCATCTATTATGACCTCCAGCCTCACAACTCTAGATGTATCATTAGCACTTAGTTAAAATGGTCTGTTTGCAAATCAGAACCTTTCTCTGAAGTATAATTAGATTTATGTCTGACCTCATATTCGTGTGTGTAACCAATCCATAATCAATAGACAATTAGATGTAATTAAACTCAAAGCAATGGAAAAAAGAATACTTCAAATTTAAAGAAAATAGCATATTGAATAATAACTATGACTGTAGATAAAAGTTTCGTTCTTCTGAAAAAAAACTAATCTTCCCTTTTTGTTCATTACTTATTTTAGCTTATGAATATTATTTTTACCTTATTTTAAGTTATTAAATTAGCATTACCATGATATACTTTTTATCTCAACCCTTTATTCTTACTTAAGGAGTCTAAGATTTCCAAAAAGATTTTTTTTTTTTTGAATGCAAATTACACAGCAAATAACTGATGTCTACCTTCTAAACAGTTACTTCTAAGAAAACTTAACATGATTAGAGGGAATGTTATTGATAGTTTCATGTTTCTAATTCTGCAAACACAACCAGGAATTCGAGTCGCCCATACACATCACAGTAAGAAATGCATAACAGTCTTCTAGGCTTGTCTTCAAGGACTTTTGCTGACAGAAGAACCTGTGCCTACACACAGCTGACAAGTTCTTTTTGTCTGATGTAACAATTTGACAACTTTCACTTGTTAGACACCTGCAAACACTTTACTTATAAAATCTCATATGTTCTCAATTTCTAATTATTCTCAGGTCCCTTCAGAAGATATTATATCTTAAAGAAATAGCTTCAACAGCAGTTCCTAAACCAATTTACATATCCCTTTCAAATCCAGAACCCCAGCTAGATGAAAGCAAAGTGTTAGCTTTTTTAATCACAATTCTCAGGTTCCTCAAAATTTTCAAGTAGAAGTTCCATGGCAACATTGCAAATGTCAGATAATGTTCCTTATTATCTCTAGGATGCTCTGTTTTCCTGTAATGACTACTAGAATCAGACAATAATCAGGTTTATTTTAAACCACAGCAGAAGATACTTTTAATTTGCTATGATTAAACTGCAGTGCTTCCAAGAAACTGAAGGGCAAAAATAGCTATGTAAAAGTGTATGTTATGGTCCTCGATACTTCTGTATTCATGTGCATGCAGGGCCAAGTTCAGTAGGAATAACCAAATTATCCAAGAACATGCTTTTGCACCATTTCTAAACAAGGATGATTGCTTGTTTTGATTCCCAGCCTTGGTGCCTACACATTCCTAAAGAGCTTCCTGGAAACAAAGCAATTTGCATAGGTAATATTAATAAAAACATTCGTAACTTTTAAAATGATGACTTAATCTCAGGGCTTCATAGTTTTTCATGTTGTGGTTTCAATACACTAAATACTTGAAAGTTCAACTCTTATTGCCATTTTCAAACACATCAGGAGCCTATATTGTTAGAGACATATGCTTTACAAGCAAATCGGCACACACTCAGGACTAATGAAGTTAACTGCCATAATCTTACTTTGATTATTTCTCCTTTTCAAAGCACTGCTACAGACCCTCAAGGCTGCTTTTGAAAGAGACAAGTGTTTCAATAAGTAAATGACAATGCTAAGCATAAACCAGCAGTAACTTTTTGAATAACTGATAATGTTGCCTTGCTTTTGGTTTTGCTTTTTGTTTTTTTTCTCCTCCATATAATCTATTGCCATTTAGAAGGAATATAGTGATGAAAGTTGTAAATTCAGACCTCACTCGGAGTTGTGAAAACAAATCTGTAACCACACTATGAAAACAAAAGATAGAAGAAAAATGTTGTCTTTATCAACTTTACTTATTAGACAATAGAGATACTCGATTAGCATACTTAGTGACATAGCTTTAATTCTATCATCTGCCATCATATTCAACATCTGTCTGTCTGCCTGGCACAGGAGAAGAGAGAGGTTTCTCTTCCCTGATTACATCTCTACTGCTATCCCATATCTGCCACACACTTTCAGCTTGTTTGGAAATTAAATACTGCTGAGACACTGATCATTACAGATTTTAACATTGTTATCAATATGATAATAAGAGGGAAAATTATCTATGTTTTTCCCTTAGTCTAAAAAAAGGAATTTTATTTCCAGAAAAATAAGCAAAACTTGCAAGCACTTGATCTAGTTTGATCCCAACCCACAAATCTAAAACTTGTGCAGCACTGTTCTCTTTTGCAAATAAATTGTCAGTATTGTTTGGTAGGAAAACTACAATTTTACATATAATGAATTTATAAACGGCTAACAAAATTCAGTTCCAATTAGCTGAAATTCACAATTTATATTAAGCAGAAGGCGACCAGGTGATTCTGCCATAATCTGTGCTCACCTGCTGTAAGCACATTTTCCTGGATAAGTGTTTTCTTCTTATTCAACCGTAGACTGCCAGGAACCATTTCATGGAGCAGCTCACTTTTAGAGTCTCTAAAAATGGACATTGATAGAGACTCCAAGGATTTTGAAAAACCTGAAGGCAGTTTAGTGAAGAGAACTGCAATTAAAAGCCTCAGTGATGGGTGTTTTACACACTGTATGGTCACTGATACCTTTGCAAAGAGCATATAAAACACAGTCAAGTGAGAACCTCTTAGCGTCAGTACACCATTACCAAGCAGATCCCCTGAGGTTCAGATCTCCGATTCCTTTGGACTTTGGTCAGCTGCCAATTGTCAGTTTTAGATTGAGCACTACTAAATATACATAGCACATACTGTAAAAGTGATTTTTTTTTCTCCTCTAAATTCAGCTGCAGAATAACATTTTTTATAAATTCAGACTATAATATGGATTGTTTTCAACATCTTTTGTGACCAATCAGTTGTTGTGCACACTGCGCTTGTGCCAAGCATGAATCAGTTGTAAAATAGTAGCACACTGCCAAGCCTGACCTACAAAACCCTGCTCAGTTGCAGGACTTGGGGGTTCAGTGCTGTATGGCAAAAACACACCACAGCTGGCTAACAGCTGGATGGCAGCCAGCAATCTCGCACAGACTATCATCAAGGAAAGCTCAAAGGTTTCTGCAAAAGACCATGTATTTGTATATTGATGTATTTATAGTTTATAAGTTGTTAGTCTACATCAACTCTAGACAAAAAGGGCAAATTTCAGTT